ATTTCTGAGGCTTATCGAAACACCACTAGGATACATCAGGTCTTGTTACAATCAAGTACTGATGTATAATGTTGAGGAATAAATAAAATCAGCTCCAAAATAACTCAATCCAAACAGCTCTAATTTGCTCATCAAGATCATTTCAATTCTAGAAAGTTTATGTCATGCTTCAGAGTTTCAAAACAAATCATAGCTTAGAAGTAAACAGAGTTAGTTATTTGAGTATCTTCTGTTAGGTTATTTAGCTTGTTAGTTTCAGTTGAGCTAAAGTGTAATTTTCTGTCTAAAATGGTTAAGCTCTTTTTGAATAAATATTAGAATCACAAATACTGAGTAGTCATTTTGAGTTGCTATTTACAGACATCTGACTTGTTATCTATGCACATGGCAACAAAAATCAACTCAAAGCCATGGCATTGAATAAGTCAATTCCAACAAGCCTTATTAATTGTTCTCACCAAAAACCAATCAAACCAGGCATCCAACTGTTCTTAAATTGACATATGTTGGAAGCTTAAACTTCTAGTCAATAGTTAGAGAAGTGTAAACTAGGTATAATAGAAGGATTGAATTTGAAAATTGAATATTCTGGTGGAATAAGTTCTAGTTAATTTAAGCACAACCGCTCACGTAATGGAAATTTATTCTCTCAAGATATGTGAGCCCAGATTTTCGCAATCAAGTTACACAAGTCAAGGACTTTCATGCTTGATGTAACTCATAAGCAGAGGCAGAGCCAAGGAATAGACGTATAGATGGAAACACTTTGTAACTTGTGAGGAGGGGCAGAGCCAAGGGAAGGACATATAGATGGTTAAAATCTTTGGTTAACTTGAGCAACTTCGGAAGATTGTATCTTCTTCATAATTCAGTTTCTGAATCTAACTTGAAAATCTTTCTTATATATCCTCTAGCAGTAATCAATTTGTGGAAACTGTACTGCTTGAATCAAGTTTTTTTGAAGCAATCAATGGTTTGTCAAGCATTTGCATATCTTACAACGAGTTGTAAGGTCCAATTCCAAATAGCAAAGCATTTCAAAATGCCCCCGTTGAAGCATTGCAGGGGAACAAAAGATGGTGTGGTGGCATTACTGGATTGCAATCTTGCTTATTAGCTTTTAAGTTACACAAACATGCATTAGGAAAAACCTGGGCTACTGTATTCCCTCTTTTAGGTGGACTTGTACTTTCAATTCTCGTAATTGGAATGTACTTCATTAATCAAAGACAGAAAAGCGTCACACAAAAGCAATAGAGTAGTGTCAACACTCACGGATTACTTTCAATAATAAATTTTGAGGGAACACTAGTATATGAAGAAATCATAAGAGCTACAAATAATTTTGATACCAGATATTGTATTGGTAGTGGTGGATATGGAAGTGTTTACAGAGTAGAACTACCATCAGCGGACATTTTAACTATTATAAAATTTCACTCATCATATCTTGAAGAGATGGGAGGTCAAAAAGAATTCTTAAAGGAAATAAGTGCCTTGATAGAAATACGACATGAAATGTTGTGAAATTCTATGGTTTCTGTCAACATGTTCAAAACTTATTTTTAATTTACGAATGCGTTGAAAGGGGCAGCTTGGCCAAAATATTGAGCACTGAAACAAAAGCAAAAGGATTGGGTTGGAGGAAGAGAATGAATGTTATACATGGTGTAGCTCATGCCTTGTCTTACATGCACCATGATTGCTCCACATGAATTGTTCACCGAGACATATCGAGAAAGAATGTGTTGTGGGATTTGGAATATGAAACTCATGTTTCTGACTTTGGAACTACCAAATTTCTCAAGCAAAACTCATCCAATTGGTCTAAACTTGCGAGGACATATGGATATGTCGCATCGAATATGTAATTCTTTCATTTTTCATCTTCTGTTTTTAGCTAATTTGCACAATACAAATGCTACATAATCACATATATCTTTCATATGCAGCGCTTGCTGACATCATGAATGTTACTGAAAAAATGTGATGTCTATAGCTTTGGACTGTTAACACGGGAAATAATGAAAGGGAATCATCCAAGAGATTTTCTTTCCTCATTTCCATCATTGTCTTCCAATGTGAATTTAAGTCACACTGATTTGTTGGATCCAAAACTTGCAACTCCCTCACATGACATGCAGGATAAACTCATATCCATGATGGAGGTTGCTTTTTCTTGCTTAGATTCTGATACGTTTACAAGTCCTAAAACACTTGTAAACATGAGTGGACAAGGAATTACAAGTTCTAAAACTCTTGCTAATTCGGTTGGATTGAAGAATTTCACTCCAAGTCTTAAAACACTTGGATTGTGGAATGTGGAATTCAATAGAGGAAATTCGGCCCAAGCAAGTTCCAAGGAGAGAGAGAGAGTCCAAACATTTCGGCCTAAACCATTCCCAACCCAAGCTTAACAAGGGAAGCTCAAGTCCACCAAGAAAGAAGCCCAAATATTGAAGTTGTCCAATCCGGCCCAAGTCTCATTCTAGAGGGGAAGATCCACATGAACCCTTATTGGATCCATTTGCATGATTCTCAAGGCCCAAACTTTTACACCCTTATTAGTAGACTTAATTAACTCATTGATCAAGTTTTGATCTAATAAAGTAAGCTTATTGTAACTAATGGGGTGGTTAAAGACATAGATCATAAAATTAGGGAATCATCTTTTGCATTAAACAGGCATGATCTTGCCTTTTGAATGAATGACTTGTAATATTAGTTAAGTTTATTTCATTTGAATGTATTTGTCAATCACTTGTTTACCCTTGTATTTGCTTACATAAAGGCAACTATTTCATTGTGCCAATTAGCTTATAATATATATTGAAATTTGGTTTATCCATTTGAGAGAACTTGTGTGTTCTTGAGTGTGCATTCTTTATCCAAGTCTTGGCAAGGGGATTTGGTGGTGAATCAATTCAAATTGGTGGAGCAATCCTTTATGCTTGAAGTGTTTCTACTTGTCTTGTCCGAAAATTGCAAGTAAGTGACTTGAACTCAATATTTTGTGTTGACTAAATTTAGCTTGGATTTGTGTTGTGTTGTGTTGTGTTGTATTGGTTGGAAGTGGATCAAATTCCAACCCAGAATCTAGACCAACTATGCAAGGTGTTTGTCAACAATTAGCTTATGGTAGGCCATCAAATTGTCTCTTTCACGATGTCTAGGTCTAGCAAAATTGCTGTTGGGACTTATTCTTCTTCATTTTGGATCATTATATGCTCTTTGTATTTATATGTTTACTTCAATACCAGTGTGCTGTATTTATTATTATTCAATGAATTTCCTCCTTGTTTAGAGGTTTGCCAAACAAATTAGCTTGATATGTCAAAACCAATTAAATGTAATTCTACTGTATGTGAATTTTTTGAGAATAAAAAAATCATCTCCAGTATAGCTCAAGTCTAAGTTCCAATCAACTAAAGAAGTGGGGAAGCAAAAGAAGTGGGGAGGAGTATTGCATGCCTTGTCTTACATTCACCATGATTGTGTGATCTCCACTAATTGTCCACAAAGACATATAAAGCAAGAATGTTTTATTCGATTAGGAATACAGAGCTCATGTTTCACGCTTCGGAATTATGAAGTTCCTCAAGCAAATACTTTATTTATTCTCCTTTTATTTAAATAAAAGTAAAATAAATACATACATCCTCATTTTTATTTGTAAAAATATCTATGAAGGGAAAGTCCAATATGTGGCTTGCGGCTTCTCATTGCCACGCAAGGCCTTAACTTTAGTAATGGATCTAGACCATGAAGTGGCCGCTACATTGGATTGAGATGGTGGTTTAATGGCTTTTGTATATGGTGATGACATAGGAGGTTTGTTTTATTTGTCATTTTTTTCCTATAATATAATTATCACAAAAGTCCAGGTTCAACCTTGATGAAATCAGCTTGATTCAGAAAATAAGACTTGAATAAGAGAGATGATATATGCAAAANAGTCTTGGCAAAGGGATTTAGTGGTGAATCAATTCAAATTGGTGGAGCAATCCTTTATGCTTGAAGTATTTCTACTTGTCTTGTCCGAAAATTGCAAGTAAGTAACTTGAACTCCAATATTTTGTGTTGACTGAATTTAGCTTGGATTTTTGTTGTGTTGTGTTGTATTGGTTGGAAGTGGATCAAATTCCAACCCAGAATCTAGACCAACTATGCAAGGTGTTTTTCAACAATTAGCTTATGGTAGGCCATCAAATTGTCTCTTTCACGACGTCTAGGTCTAGCAAAATTGCTATTGGGACTTATTCTTCTTTATTTTGGATCATTATATGCTCTTTGTATTTATATGTTTACTTCAATACCAGTGTGCTGTATTTATTATTATTCAATACATTTAACTGATACGTCAAAATCAATTAAATGTAATGCTACTGTATGCGTATTTTTTTAGAATAAAAAAATCATCTCCAGTATAGCTCAAGTCTAAGTTCCAATCAGCTCAAGATAACTTGGATTTATTCCAGCGAAGGAGAAGCAAAAGAAGTGGGGAGGAATATTGCATGCCTTGTCTTACATTCACCATGATTGTGTGATCTCCACTAGTTGTCCACAAAGACATATCAAGCAAGAATGTTTTATTCGATTAGGAATACAAAGTTCATGTTTCACGCTTCGGAATTATGAAGTTCCTCAAGCAAATACTTTTTTTATTCTCCTTTTATTTAAATAAAAAGTAAAATAAATACATACATCCTCATTTTTATTTGTAAAAATATCTATGAAGGGAAAGTCCAATATGTGGCGCTTCTCATTGCCACGCCAGGCCTCAACTTTAGTAATGGATCTAGACCATGAAGTGGCCGCTACATTGGATTGAGATGGTGGTTTAATGGCTTTTGTATATGGTGATGACATAGGAGGTTTGTTTTATTTGTCATTTTTTTCCTATAATATAATTATCACAAAAGTCCAGGTTCAACCTTGATGAAATCAGCTTGATTCAGAAAATAAGACTTGAATAAGAGAGATGATATATGCAAAACAAAGAGGGTAATAGGACAATCACACATACAAGAACATCAAATTTATGTGATTCAACAAAATCATGCTTATATCCATAGGATATGAGTCAAATGACTGAATTAGAAAATAATAGGATAAATCTAATAAACTCACGTTAAACACAAACCCGAACCCAAAACCCTCATACACCAATCTCATGCTTTCTTTAACACTACCACTTTATGCACACAGATCCCGAAAAGTGAAGTCCTCATAACTGACAATACTCTCTCTTTACCCATACGATATTGTAACATCACTCACCAGCCTATACATAATCCAAAAAACTAGCGATGGTGAAAACATTAATTTGCTTTGGAGGAAGAAACTGTCTCAATTCCTTTGCCTACATTGCTATCCTGCCACTACAAATTCTTCAGGCTTCACATTCCACTTATCATCTCAACAAATTCATGGTGTCATGGTGACACGTTGAGGCCCAAGTTTGTGAAGCAATGATCCAGTGGTTTGTGACTTTAACCCTTTTCAGATTTTCTCCAATCTCTAGCCATGCTGGTTTTAGTTAACTTAATTTTCCAACCCTGCAACTAGATCACCTGCAAAACAAAGAAAAATAAAGCATTGTAAAAATATGTAAAAATATATAAGCAGGACACCACTAATCTCCAAAATTCATGAGACAAGATTTTAACTCTGACCCTGGAGAAAAGACATGAACTTGTCATCGTTTCAAAGATTTCAAAATATAAAATAATTTCTTATCCGATTTGGAAATGTCGTACCACCAGAAACTGATTGATCACAAGCTTTCATTCCATTCCTTAAACGCGGATCAGTTGCAGAAATGACATAAGCTGGACATTTTGTTCAAGTCTTTCATCCAAGGTGACATATCACTCCCTTGAAGTTGTGTTGATTTCATCTTGACATTCTTAGGATTCACCTTGAATATTAACAAATACGAATTAAGAAGACATGCTTTTCTGGAATAAAAAGGGTAATGATGGTGGGAAAATGTAAGAATAAAACTATGTAAGACGATCAAGAAAGAATAGCCGAAGTGCTTGCACTAGACGAACATAGACTGATTGTTTTACTTTAGCAGGATATATAAAGGTCCATTACTTGGTTTTTTGCAAATTCAAGACTAAGGTACAAAATGTGCAATTAAATGTGCTAAATAGAAATGATTTGTGATCTTGTTAAAAGTTTGTGATCTTGTTAAAAGTTTAGACGTACAAAAACAATGTCGAATATGCTTACACAAAGTTGGGGACCAATGTTTCCTGCAATGTTAATGTAAGTGTAGGGATCCAGCATAGATTTATTTACACAGAGAAAGTAAACAATGATTCCTTCAATAAGCTATAAAAAATCCAAATGCATTTCACAACATCTCTTTGCCCAAAACAAAAACAATAAGACAACAATAAAGAAACCATGCAGAGGCAAAAAAATGCACTTTGATTAACTTTGCAACAACTAGAAGCTCCAAAATTTGTATTGTAATTTCAGCAAGGAATCCAAAGCTCCAAAACCAGAAGCTTGGAGTTAGGTTCTAAAAGTGCAAGTAGACATGCCAGTTATTAAAGTTTAGATTTGGAAAAGTTAGACATGCCAGTAGTTAGGTTTTAACAGCTGCTTACGTGATGTTGGAGACAGCAGCACCTGAAGAAAATGAATCCGAAGAAAAAATTTCTTGCCTATGTAGTAGTAGAAGCCAGATCAGGAAAACATAATAGAAAGGATCTGTAGCAGACGTTTTTATCAAAAATTGCAGATATTGTTTACTTTTGGTTACCTTTGAACCATGAGTTGAGAAAATCTATGAGATGACAAAGTAGTGAAGTCTTAACACAAAGGAACCACTTTCAATTTGGAAGTATTCTGCAATCAAAATGCCATGTTGTACTTCTGAAACTAGAGCAACTATTCACTTGCTTCTGGCTGGAGAAAAAACTGATAAAAATACTAAACTGAATTTCAAATATTGAGTGTTAAATTCAACCAAAAATGAGATTGACGAGAAAGATACAAGTACCTGAAGAACCTCTAACATGAGCACCTTGTTGACACTTGCCTCTAAATGTTCTTGCCCTGAATTGTAAAGTATAAAAATATAAGCCAAAATTGTCTAATCTGCAACTAATCTCAAAACTCACACAAACTAAGCAATAATATTATCTAATCAGTTATTCAAAGACCCTTTCAGAAATTAAAAATGAAAATAGAACATGAAGAATTTACTTGTATTAAGAACTCCAGAAATTAGAATTTTGTCCAAATCCAAAGTTTTTTCTTTTCTTCAGTTACCTATCACACACAATAGTGCCCAATAGCAAAATGGTACAGAGATTACAATCAATTTACTGAAAACATATAAAACCAATCATAAATATTTGTGATAGTGAGTTTATATTGTATTAGATAAAATCAATAAAAAATTATTGTATTAGATAAAAACCTAGACAATAGTAGAGGTGAAATTAAGAAAATGACGAACCTTGAATGATGAGATGATTTTCCAGAATCAGATGATTCATTGGTTTCTTTCTCCTTTAAATTTCTTTTAAGTCTCTCCCACTTTACACACAAAAATCCCAAAAGATGAAACTTTCTTCTGTAGTCTTTGGCTCTTATTATTTAACAAGAATTTACAACAACACTCACTTTTCACCAATTTTCTTAACGAATTAGTTTTCTCTGGTTGAAGAAACTGTCTTGATTCCACTGTATACACTGCTACCCTGCCACTGCAATTTATCAGGCTTCACATTCCTCATATGATGACAATAAGTTCATGTACGGAGCCCTGGTGACTGAATGGAGCCCACAAGTTTGTGAAGCAATAATCTAGTGGTTCATGGCCTTGACACTCTTCAGATATTCTTCAAATGTCTATCCAGTTTGGTGTTATTGGTGAAATCACCTGCAAAAGAGAAAATATTTATGAAAAGACAGCCCCAAAAATATGCAAAATAATTGATAAAGTAAAAACATTTCAGTGCAAGTGTATCAGCTACTGCCACTTACAAATTACAAATTTCTTAAGTGAAGACAAGAAGTGAGTGGGTAAATCATGTATATTTAACTTATCCAGTTTCTTCAAGAGACTTCTTGCCATCTATCCTCTTAAATGGACATGGATTATATTTGACACCAAGCTTTTAATTAACAAGGGACAAATTAAAATCAATATTGGCATTGCAACTAGGCAAACCAACAGCAAAAAATGCAACTTGAGAAGACTTCTACTAAAAAATTACTTGGGGGACAGGCATTGATAAGACATTTGATAAGACCTTGACATGAACATCCTCTAATCTCCAGAAGTTAAAGAGACGTAATACTGGAGATTTTGGCACTTCTTGGTATCCTGCAGAAATGAAGTAACCATGTTATCGTTACAGAGATCTCAAAATGTACAAGATTTCTCATCCAAGTTGGAAATGTCTTACAACCATAGGAGCTGATCACAAGCTCATGCTCTTTTTTTGGTAACATATATATATATACTTCAAGTCTTTAATCCAAGTTGACACATTACTCTATTGAAGCTGAGTTGATTTCATCACTCCATTCCTAGGATTCACTTTGAACATTAACAAATACAAATTAAGTAGACATGCTCTTCCAAAACAAAAAGACAATCGAATTGAAAAAAGGTTAGAATAAGTCTACTCAAGAGGAGAAAGAATATCTCATGTTCTTACAATTAATGAACATCAAATATTTCGGCCATCTCTTCTATAGGATATGTAAAGGTCCAGTACTTGGTTTTGCTATCATCATTTCTTCCTATAAAAAATTAACAGGACAACCAACATTAACGTAACTCATGAAGGTGATGGTAGCAAACTTGCTGAGAGAAGCAAGAAATGAAGGAAAAATATTAACCAAATATAAGCAAGGTCTTTTCTCAAGCATTTGTAATTTTAAAATAAAAGAAAAGCATTACTAGTACCTTTTCTAGATGGACTGGGTCATGCTGTGCCCCATGCCTCTTTCTAAAAACAACGGCTTCATCTTAATAAAGAGAGTTCCTTTAGTATAGAGGAATTACCAACAAAGCTGTAAACTAATATAGAAAAAAAAAATGTAATTCAGAAAAGCTACCTTAAGAATTACACCAACTTTGGGCTTATAAAGGTCGCTTTATCCTTAAATCTCTACATTGTGATCCTAAAAGCAAGGTTTAGTGGTCTTGCTTTTTATTATTTGCGGAAGAGAAAATAGGGTGATTCCATTGATAAGATAAGCCACAAAAATTTCAAAACAAAAATAAAATCTGCCTTTTCAAAACGAAAAGAATCAAACAATAATGAATAAAATATACATATGTATAAGCATTTAAGTTCACTTTATTTAGTTAAAAGATGCCACGATTAGAACCGCCAATCCTTGTTTGAGCACAAAATTTGATAGACTCTATATGTAAAGCAAGGATAAGATATTCAAGGTATCAAATTCAAGAAGTTAATCTAATCAACACAAGTTGCATAAATTACCTGTACAAAGTACCACTGTAATTGTCTCCTTGACGATTATCTGGGCAAATTAAAATATGAGAAACTTATTAATACTTGAAATTAAGGCAGAGGATAAAAACAATATTATGTTAATATACAAAATTCTGCTAACAGTGGAGGTGTCAGTAAATCACAAACCTTGATATCTGACTGCGTGCTTTGTATTCAATTATGCCAGCTCAATTCTCTTTCTTCCTCCTTTGAATTGAAGATGAATGTTCTATCTATTTCAACATTAGGGATGTGAGCTATCATTGAGCAATACTTCCCTTTACCTCTTCTCCACTGTTTTTTTAGTGATGGACATGCCCAGATCTGTAATTTCAGAACTGAAGGTGGCGGGCTTGGCAAGGATTTGAGCTTTGGGCAATCCTTGATATTCAAGGTTTGAAGAGAAGTGAGGCTTCCTAGGCATGCAATTGATTTGAGATTTGGGCAACTCCAAATTCCGAATTTTTCAATGGAGGTGTGGCTTCCCAGATCTGGAATTGATTTGATCTTTGGGCAACTCTCTATCCAGAAGCTTTTAAGTGATACGAGGCTTCCTAGGTCTGGAATTGACTTGAGATTTGGGGAATCCTCAATTTTCAAGTCTGTAAGAGAAGTCAGTGTGCCCAAATCTGAAATAGATTTGAACGGTGCGAAATTAGAGATCACTAAAGATTCAAGAGAAGTGGGCATTCGCTGGTCCTCCGATAGAATAAGCTCTGGATCTTCAAATCCCTTAATTGCAAGATGTTTAAGAGAGGTGAGATTGTGCAATCCCCATCTAATCAGTCTCTTACTAATTTCGACCTCTTCCCCAATGTCGAATCGTTCAAGACCGGTAAGATTCTGTAGGCCGAACAATGTATTGGATTCAAGATTTTGAAGACCCACTAAACGTACATCTTGAAGACAGGGGTTATTGTTAAATGCCCCTTCTAGTGACTTTAGCTTTGGACAATTCACAATATGGAGGGTCTCAAGTGATTCATGTACGCACCACCTTGTTGATAATAATGTTGTGAGATTTCGACACGTATGAATATAAAGACCTTTGAGTATCTTAGGCAACAATGCTCGTGATGATAGGCACGTGAGAGACTCGCAATTGGAAATTAACAAGTACTCGAGAAGAGTAGAACTGATACCCTCCAAATGTTGTAATTTCTTACAATTCCATATACGAAGGCTTTTTAGAGATGAAGGCAGTGTGTTTCTGGCAATGAATAATAGAGAATCACAACAATCAATTGTCAGAGTTTCTATGTTGTTTTGCTTCAATCTTTTTGGCAAAGATTTCAGAGCCTCGCATTTTCTAATCTCAAGATCACTCAAATTGGGAAGCAAAATGGTGTTTAGAAATGAGATCCTACAATTTCTGATACACAATCTTTTAAGAGAGGTGAGGCTATGACTCCATTTTAGTGGCTTCTCAACACAACTGAAACCTTGACTCAACCAATTTTCAGATCCTACAATGTTTGGAAGAGATTCAGACTTAGGTGACATGAACTCCGTAGATCTACCAGTACACACCACTTCCTTGCACTCATCAATTCTTAAATAGGCGAGCTTTGGAAAACTTGAATATGAAACCGTCCACTTTGCACACTTTTCAATATGAAGTTCTTCCAATGAGGGAAGATGATCAAGCATTTCTATGATAAGTTCAGGACATTCAGTAATGGAAAGCTTACGAAGTTTTGGGAAATTTTCAACGTTCTCATTTTCCCCTTTGGTGTCCCAATACTCACATGTTTGCAAATTCTTGAAACAAAGAATCTCTAATGAATTGTAAGGAATTTGCATATTTATTTTTTCTAGTTTTGGCATCCCTTTGATGACTAACTCTTTAAGTGAGCTCAATAGGTTTTCTGAAGGCAAGCTTGTGCATTTTTCACAATTTTCTAATTTAAGGACCACCAATTTAGAGAGCGATGATGAAGTGCTTAACCAAGATGGAAATTCTAAACCACCATAAAATCTAATTGTTAGCTTTTCTAGATTGCTATGCGGTTTCAACATTTCAAGCACATCATTTTCTACACTCTCTACTCGTGAGCCATCAAATTCGGATCCCCACTCTAATGACAACACTTTTAAGTATTTTTTATTGCTTAATGTGGACCCACCTATTTGCCTTACATTATTCACATTCTCTAATTTGGAAATGTGAAGCTCTCCTTGAAGAAAACTTAAGCTCTTCAAATCTTCCAAATTTGAGCCCGATTCCTTCCCCACAATAAAGTTAGACAACATTTGGAGATTTTTCAATTCTCTCATTCTTGACGGCATCTCTTCCAATGAATTTTGACCACTTATATCAAGATGATATAGATTGGTTAAATATCTCATGTTGGAAGGTAACTTTACGAGACAAGAACAATCTTTTAATAATAAAGTTTGCAAGTTAAATAATTGGCTTGTTGACTCAGGCAAACTTTTGATCATAGTGTAAGAAAAGTTGAGATACCTTAGATGTATCAATTTTCCAATTGAATCAGGTAAATGAGTGATGTGGTATCTTTTTAAAGATAATACTCTCAACTTTTCTAACTTTGGCAACAAATAAAAAATAACCGTAGCACTTATATAATGGTCACTATTACTTCCATACTTAGGCGTCATGAACACCGGTAAGAATGTTCTTAGACTCTCAAGCTTTTCCAAGCCTTCAAATTTCTTTCCTATACTATATACATCAGGAAGATAAGAAAAATGACGAGTTCTTTTTACATGTTTTGGTAGTTGGATAATGGCTTTTTCAGATCTGAAACTGAATTCTTCAGAAACTGATTCAGCTAAATCGTGGATAAGATCATGTTGTACATATTTAGAACCATCATTACTTGATTTTTGAAAAAATGATCTTAAACACAAATCATTAAAGTACTGACCTGCCACATCCAGTTGTGTATCAGATGATTGAACAATACCTTCTGCCACCCATAGAAGCACAACTTCCTCTTTCTCAAATTCATAGTCTTCTGGAAAAACCGCACAATACGTGAAACATCTTTTTAAATGCGAAGGGAGATAGAGATAACTTAACTTTAATACGGGAAGGATATCTCTTTCTTTCCATATTTCGCTGTCTAATATTCTTTCCCAGGTATTAATCTGCTTACAGTGTAAAAGACCACCGAGGGTCTTTGCTGCCAGAGGTAGACCACCACACCTTTCAAGAACTCTCTCACGAATTGAATCGGTAATTAGATCATCAGCAGCAGCTGTACCAATCGCGAGTGCATGCTCCTTAAACAAGGACCAACAGGCTTCTTCGCATAAACGCTCTAAAGCATAAGTATCAGACTCAGGGCATCTTATTGTTCGAGCAACATATCTATGGCGTGTTGTGACGATCATCGTGCTTCCAGGTGCACCAGTTTCGAAGGGAGACATAAGCTCTTCCCATTTACTGTAGTCTACCTCCCAAACATCGTCTAATACTATCAAGAATTTTTTCCCATTTACTGCCTTCTGCAGTTCAAGTTGCACATTATTTTTATCATCTGGAATGGAGGATGAGGAGTCATTTAATGACTTTGACTTGAGAAGTGCCTTTGAAATTGTCAGAACATCAAAGTTGTTTGAAACACAGACCCATCCTTTTTTCTCAAACTTGAAATCTTCCTGCTTCTGCATGTGATTGTATATTTTCCGAGCAATCGTTGTTTTGCCGATCCCTCCCATGCCGACGATGGCTATCACTCGAAAGTTGGCACCACTTGGTTGAGCGCTTTTCACCATGTCAAGTAGTTTTTCTTCATCTTTACCTCTCCCATAAACAACTTTTTCAGGTGGGACGCTTGAAGTTTCCTTTGGTCTAGGCAGTACTGCAGCATTACTTGATGTCCCTCCAGAAAGCTCTTGCAATCCACGGTCATCTGATCTTTCCTGCCGGAGTCGGTCTAAGCGGCTAGTGATGTCTTTGATCTTGGACCCCATTTGTACATTGAACAAGGGACTAGGGAAAGAAGCAGGGAGGAATCTCATGCACTTGCTAGAGCTAGCCTGGTGTTCTGCCTTCTGTCTGCGTCGCAAGGCTTCGTAGGCAAACTCATCCAGTATGTCTTCCGCATCATAAGCCCAGTCTTGAAGATTGTCAAGCCACTCTTTGAGGCTTTCATCCGTCAGTCGCTTGTCTTCCGCATTGCGAAGAAGATTTTGAACCTTCCTCAACTTGTTTTCCAGATTTTTTAGCTCTGAAGCTACCCCTCCAACAAGGTTCCGAGCAAAGTCCTGCACCTCATTGGACCCCAAAATCTTAAACAACCCGTTAAAGAGTTCAGAGACCACAGGCTGAGCAACAAAATCCATGGTTTCGGTTGTTGGAACAAGAAGAGAAGGATGAGAGAAAGCAAGAAAAATTGGTTAATTTTCTCTTAAGAGTGCTCAAAACTGAACGCAAAATACAAAAATATTAAGATGTCAAAATACTTTAATATTTTAGTTTACAAATATTAAAATTTTATTATATTATATGATGTGATCAGTGGCCTCAATCAAATTATTTAAATTATAACTATTAATTAAGGAACAGTGGCCTCTTCCTCCTAAGATTTTATTTTTTTTATTTTTTATTTCATTTTTCTAAATTTTTTACAATAAAACAATAGAGCAATTTTAAGCTTTTTGAAAAACGAGAAAAAGAAATGGAGAGTGGATAATAAAGTGATAGACAATAGATTTAAAGTTAATAAATCAAGAAATTAAAGGCTTTGTCGAAATTTCTTAGAAGACGATACTTCCATAACAGTCCCTATAGATAATTCTTAATTAATTAATTAATTAAAGTAATATAATATCAAAAATAATTACTACTTTAATTAATGGATCAAATACTTACAAAATTAATTAAGAAAGGGATGAGACGCAATGATTTTGCCGTGGAAAGGAGAGGAAATTTCTCGAAATAATTCATTCAATTGAAGTAAATTTGGTTTTATGTGTTCAATAAAAGAGCTGCATGAACTCCACAATACATACATGCCAGCTATTAATGGTACTTCAAAGCCAACTATTACCTGTTGTTGAAATTGTAAATAACATGATTGATTTTGGAATAAAATGATCTTATATTTGTTAACAAAATTTAGTAGCAAATAAGCTTTAACAAAAAAAAAAAAGAAAAGAAAATTTGGAAACTAATTTGCAAGTCTTAGTCAAGTTAATCATAATAATTCAAGTTCAACAACTAATTTAGCATAATTAGAACCTTAATTAATTTAAAAAAAAAAAAAAAGCAATATATATAATATCAAGAATTGTTGCTAATTTTGCTGAAATCACTGATGTTCTAATGGAAGACAACTGTGTGGACCAAGCAGTTCAATAATTCTAAGCTTTTTGACAATTAAACGAGAAAAAGAAGTGGATAATAGATTAAAAGTAAAAGTGTGTCCATGAACAAAATGCTGCTTTTATAGTGCACTTCTCATTTGTTACTGCTTTAAGAAGAAAACTTGTTTATAAAACGTAGTGTACTACTTAAAACTAACAGTACTAATTGAGACCCTAATAGAAGAGCTTTCTTTTCTTTGCAATAACAGAATTTAACAAACTTCTGTTACTTAGCCTTGACTGATATTTGAAACTTAAAGCCTATATCTCATCCTCCATTAATTGTTCTAATATCTCATCAACATCGCCCCTCAACCTAAAACTAACCCAATAAGATTTAGCTTGCCACAACAATTAGTATTAGATACGAACATTTTAAAAGAAATAGACAAGATAGAATATAATTTTTTACTATTTAATAAGAGAAATTAGACAATGATTACTTAGATGATTAAAAAAAAAAAAAATTGCTCTTCAGAAGCTGATATTCTTCAAGCTAATTAGTAGTTCTTCAAAACCTGATATATAAGACTTAAATATTGAAGTTTACTAACATATAGTGTATACATATATTAAAATTTTGATGAGTTGCTAAAATTAAAATTAAAATTTTATTATATTATATAATGATTGTCACATGCCTCTGGTTACCCTATAATATTTTATCAATTCTGGTTAATTAGGTGGTTCTTCAGATGCAAGGAGCAAATGTTGGTGGTCAAAATATTACTTCAATACTTAGTTAATTAATCAGGTGTCACATGCCTTAAGTTTCTCAGATCTATGCATAATTTCGTTTTAAAATTAAGATTTCTTTAGTATGGTTGAACATTGTGCATACATTAATTTTATATTCATTAAGTAACAATGAATTTAGTCAACACACATTTCAATTTCCTTCAAACGCGGATCTAACATTAGTGGTTCAAGAGAAAGCACATGCCTCTCCAAATTTTTTCTTTATTAAGTGGATGTCACATGCCTATTATTAACTTATATTAATTTGATAAGAAATATGATAATTAATTATGTCATTGTAACTGGTGCATCATTTTATTTGTGAGGAGATATTTGAGAAAAATAGTGTTAAACAATTGTTAATTAAGTCTTACAATGTGTTGTAGAATATTGCTCACTTTCTGAAGAACACATTTGAAGCTGAAGGGCTTTGTTCTTTTATTCTCAATCCATGAAACTTTTTTTTAGTGTATTACAAGTATATAACATTATCCGTATAGCTAGATTTGCTATATTTTTAACTATGAATACAGGGCTGTAGAGAGCAAAAGTTTAGTGGTCACTGTTAGAGTTATTGCAAGAAGAAAACGAAGGATGAGTATTAAAGCAAAGCAAGCAAGAAAACGGTTTATTTGGATATTGTGTCAATATTTACTATATTAAATGATCATACGTTTTAATGTTCTGGTTTCACGTTAGATGATGTGAATAGTGGCCTCAATCCAATTATTTAAATTATAACTATTAATTAAGATACCAATCTCGATTCAATCATCACTTCAATACTTTTTTTTTTTTTTGTTCCTCTTAGAAGATTGATTAATTATTTAACGCATGTCACAAGCCTTACTTTTCTTTGATCTCTGCATAATTAAGCAACGCATTAAGGTTGAACATTGTGCATACATTAATTTTATATTCATTAATTAATCATGAATTTAGTCCACTAAACATTTTAATTTCCTTCAAACGCGGATCTAACATTATTGCTTCAAGAGAAGGCATATACATGCCTCTTCCTCCAAAGATTTTTTTTTGTTTTGGTACTAAAAGTCTTGGTCAATAACTAATTAGAAATTAGTAATCTTGTTTAGTTAAGTGTTAGGGTCAAAAATCGTCCTTGGCCCAAACGGAAAAACAGGCCTGACAGCGAGAAAGAAGCCAAGCCCAATCCCGATGCGACCCAATCCGGATTAGGCCCATCTGATACAAGATACAACCGGCCCAAACCATTCGAGCATAAGCCTCCTAATCCCAGTTCACTTCCTGGATCCGTGAGCAAATCCAGAGCCCACGACCCCCACAGATCACTTTCCTATTCCTGATTAATCTCCTATTCGAGGTCACCTCCCCGTTCAGATCAATTTCCTACTCAAAGTTACTTTCCTGATCGGGATCACCTTCCTATCCGGATGCTGGTAAGACAGCTCACCACCGCCCTAATTCCTCTAGGGTTTGCATCAGAGTCATACTAGGACTCCTATTCCGACTAGGATTGGGAGACCAGACAGTCACTATATAACCAGAGGCCAGCCCTCTCACAAGGGACATTAGATTACATTACACCTTCACACCCGAAGCTCTGACTCGAGAGCTTCACACCACTGCCGTAGTCACAATCCCCGACTAGACTTCCGGTAACTTCTCTACTCCCTAGCCCTCACTATACTAGCCTCTTTCAGCCTTGCTGACTTAAGCGTCGGAATGCCTACGACAAACACCACTCCGGTATTTTCTGTTCGCTTCATGCTTGTTTCTCTATGCATGCAGGTGCAGCGGATTGCTAGTGGTCTCAACCTCACGAGATCATACCCCATTTTCGTACATGTAGATTTTTACATCTACAGTTTGGCGCCCACCGTGGGGCCTCTAGCAATCATTTGGCTCGACGAACCTTGCTACGTAGAGGAACATTCCATGGCTGACAATTTGGACAACACTGACCCCGGCCTCGAGGCCAGACTGGAGGCTCTGACAGCTCTCATGCAACAAAATTCAGACAAGGTGGCCGCACTGGAAGCCGAGAACAATACAATCCGGACTGAAAACGCATCCATCAGGACAGAAAACCAATCTCTAAAAGAGAAGGTGAGTCAGTTCTATGATCTAGAATTTATACTCGGCCAAGTACGTCCCAGTCGGTTCCGCGCCCCTGTTCCATCCATGCAACCTCTCCATACACCAGAGCACAAACCCTCGGTCTCTGGTAAAAGGCCGCGCCCATTAAGTTCATCGGTGGTCGACGATTCGGTCCTGACACCTGGAGATAAAGATATGCCAATAGAACACCATTCAGCCGATCCATCCCAGCTTCGAGATCAAGATGATCCAAAGACAAAAAACCCACACCCACAAGACCAACCCATTCTTACCATCCCACCTCACCTCCAGTCAACCATCCCAACACAAACACCATTCGGCTCGGCTCACCCTCACGGGTTGAACGGCCAAACCAAACAAACCATAGCGCTCGAGCCCATCCATTCTAACGGACCCAGTGACTATCAGACGACTCCTTTGACCATTCATGTAGGGCGAAACACTAGAACCGTTACCATGGGAGTCATCCAACCGAAAGGAATTAACGAAGATCCATGCTGCTAGGGAGTGCACAAAGGAATGACCCATCAGACTACCCCACGAGGGATGACCCAACAGAATGTACTGAGGACGAATGCAATGACAGACCCAGTCAGACGGGATGACCTAATAGTATCACCCTCTCCTATGAAACAGGTACTAGCCAAGAGGCTGGCCGACATGGAGGTAGTGATGAGACGCATCCTAGGAATGCCGGTCCCAACGAAGAAGAGTAGGCCCCATTGCTACGCGGATTCACCCTTTGTGGATGAGATCGCCCTAGCTGACATGCCCTAGAAGTTTACCATCCCCAACATGAAACTGTATGACAGCACAACCGACCCGGATGATCACATAGCCTCGTACAAGCAGCGGATGTTCATTGTCTCAATACCCCGACCGTTGAAGGAAGCATGCATGTGCAAAAGTTTCTGCTCGAGCTTATCCAGCCCGACACTCCAATGGTACACGAATCTCCCGAACGGATCAATTGACTTATTCGCTCAACTCACCGACACCTTTGTGGAACAGTTCACCAGTAGTAAGAAACTAGAGAAGTTATCGGCTGACCTATACAGAATATACCAAAGAAGGGGAGAGCCACTAAGAGAGTATGTCAGCAGGTTCAACAAAGAGAAGATCTCCATCCCATCATGTAA